TTTACTCATTGTTTCTATGTATGTCTTTTCTATATATCACAGAGAAGCTAAAATTGCTGAGTCATCATTTTAACATTCAAACGCAGATAATTCTGGAGACACATGGATGTGAAGGCTCAAACACTATTACTGATTAGCTCAGCTAAAAAAATTCAGTTTCTGAGACTAAAGTATGATTGTTCAAAAAAATGGCCTACCTGTTCCTATAACTTCATTTATTTGTTTATGATCTTGTTTTATGTTGCTTTAAAATCTTTAAAAAAGATAATGTGGATCAAATAAAATTCTAGCTTTTTAGAGAGTTTCTCTGAATATTTTATTGACTTAACCCTAGAGATTGTTGGTAAAGACATTAGGAAATGAACCCACAGTTTAAAGTTCAGAGAGGAAAGGTGAATTTATGCCTCAACCTTCAGTTTGAGTAAATACAATTATTGACAGAAACTAGCAATATTTGTTTATTCTGAGATCTGTATAGACTCATTGTATCGTTTACCAAACCATTAGACTACTTTGCTGGAAGTCCATACCACTGTGAGAGTACACCCAACTTTTTATTTTCCTAACCTGAACTCAAAATCAATAGGTTGTTGACAGTACTAACAAAGATTTTGGGTACACTTGGCACTCGCTGGTTAGGCTATAGCTTGCTGTTATGTTAGTTCTTGTCAGTTTGTGTAGAGATTCTCATGTGCTTGGACCTTGCTTGTGAAACTCTTGTTAATTCTGTTTAGGATTTAACCATAACCACTTCAAAACATAGGAGTTTTTAAATTAAGTTAAGGAACATAGCTTTGTGGTTTTATTTTTAGACTCTTTTGGATATATTAAATCAACCAAGGTAATACTGATTTTTTTTAGAAAATATGCACAGATATCTTCACCAATGTAGATTTTGTCCATTATAACCAATATAGATTTTGTCCATTATAACCAATGTGGATTTTGTCCATTATAACCAATGTGGATTTTGTCTATTATAACCAATGTGGATTTTGTCTATTATAACCAATGTGGATTTTGTCTATTATAACCAATGTGGATTTTGTCCATTATAAGAAATGAGGATTTTGTCTATATAACAAATGTGGATTTTGTCCATTATAACAAATGTGGATTTCGTCCATTATAACCAATGTGAATTTTGTGCAATATAACAAATGTGGATTTTGTCCATTATAACCAATGTGGATTTTGTCTATTATAACCAATGTGGATTTTGTCCATTATAAGAAATGAGGATTTTGTCTATATAACAAATGTGGATTTTGTCCATTATAACAAATGTGGATTTCGTCTATATAACAAATGTGGATTTTGTCCATTATAACAAATGTGGATTTCGTCTATATAATAAATGTGGATTTTGTCCATTATAACAAATGTGGATTTTGTCCATTATAACAAATGTGGATTTCGTCCATTATAACCAATGTGAATTTTGTGCAATATAACAAATGTGGATTTTGTCCAATATAACAAATGTGGATTTTGTCCATTATAACCAATGTGGTTTATATTTACTTTGAGTTTTGCCCTTGTTCTTGAAAATGTTGGAATTTTGAGCTCGAAGCCACCAACAGACATGATTCTTGCCAGATTTTGACATAACTTGGTAATATTGTTGAGTATTAATCATAAGCAGTTCAAAAGATGTGTATGACTGAATATTTAATATTTCATACTGATGATTGTTACGGTACTGCCAAATACTTTTATTCAAAATCAAAGCTGCCAGTGTTCCTATATTACCTTGCCTTGCAAGCTATCTTTCTGTTGTGGCATTGGTCTTTTAAGTAATACATGGAAGCTAGTGAGATGATGGAAGTGTGAAAATGGGTTTAGTTTCCATAACTTCTCACTGGTGTTAATTGAAAAAGCACACTCCTGAACATGTGACAGGATACCTTGTATTCTTGATATACCTGCGCAACCAGACTTTTATTTTCACTCAATCGTGTGTAGGAAAGCATCATTCTGAGTTGGCTCCAGAAAGAAAATTAAAGATATGCCCCTATTGAGACTTTAGATTTACTTTTTAGTAAGATTAAGTCTTATTGTAAATCATATGAAATGATTTATCGGTGGTTATCATTAAGCTGAAAATCCAAAAATTATAAAGCTGCCATTTGACAAGAATAGATGATTGTTTATTTGTGGTAACCTATTTTTTAGTTTTACAGATTTGTTTGAAGTAATTCAGTTTATTCTTTATTTCAGATGACAGCTTGTGTTGCTGCTTCAATGTCGAGTAACTACCCTGGAATGAATGATCATTTCTGGAAACCTGGACTCTTCAGAGATTTAAAAATGAAGCGTAAAAGAGTAAGTGATATTTGCAAGTCTGATGTGAAACGAGGGCGAACAGATGACTTACTCAATGACTGTGACACACAAAGTGAAGCTGATAGTGCTTACTGTTCAGATTTTGCTACTGATGATTTACCGGAGACTAAAGTGCCAAGATTATCACAGAAAACAGAACAACCTGGAGTTGTCTTTTCAAAGATCAAATCAAATCCTAATGATTTGATGGCAGCATGGAAATCACCAAAAGCTTCTTCAAACCTTATCATGCCTTGCTATAGCTTTCCACCTGGAAGATGTATGATGCAACCACAACAACTTCTATCTATCACCTCTTTGGCAAACCCAAATTGTCAGACGTCATTCCAGTTTATTCCAGTTATAAGCGCTACTCAATCAAATCAGATGACATCATCAGCTGGTAGTCGCCCAATATTTGTTACTACTCCACAATTACCACCACTTCATCCCAACAAGAAATCATCTGGAATGCCTGATTTGGGGGTATGTAAACAAAATCACAGTTCCAGGACTGCAGATATTAGGACTACTGATTCTGATAGTAGTTGCCAATCACAAAAAAATGACAAACCTCTCAAAGAGCAAGATTTTATATCCCACTACACAAATGGTCAGTTTGTATATAATGGTCATTTATTAGACAACCCTCATAATCATGGTCATAATCAATTTGAGAAGAAAGACAAAGAAGATGGAGGTGTCATGATGATTTGTGCTATTTGTCAAGATAGAGCTACTGGTCTACATTATGGTATTATAACTTGTGAAGGGTAAGTTGAATTGAAGCATTCCATCTAAAGTAAATCTTGATGTTGAACTGGCATAGCCATATAATTAGGTCCTGTACCAGACGGTATTTAAAGTAGTATGTGACTAAATTACACTCACCAGGAATAATTTCATAGTAATTGTCCTTGACAGCATTGCTGCATATATCACTCAATAGAGACCACACTGTCTGAACAATTTTGAAAAAAAATCATCTCATTGATGCCATTATAGTCAATTTTTCAGTTCTTGACACTTCAGTCAATGTTAGAAGTAGAAACTGCATAACACCATGATCCCTTTTCTTGTTGTTTTTGCCTCTGTTAAATTTTTAAGCCTTAAAGGCATTTATGAACATACTAAAGTTACCTTTGTTGCTGGCAGAAAAAGCTAATCACTCATCTTGTCTTGCCTGATAAAACTTGAATACTTGAAAATTTAAGTCAATTAAATTCATATAAAGAATTATAGCGATAAAGGGATTTTAAACTTGGCCAGAATAGGTTCATATTCATTTAGTGGACATAAATCTGGTACACATGAGTCAATAGCTTAGCCATTCGTCACGAGAAACTGACATGTCATCATGTGCAGTTAATTTTTGCTGCTTCGTTTTCCTTGTGAGGCAGTGTGATAGAAATCTATCCTGTTTGATATTTTTGGCACGAATGATGATTGTGCGATCGATGTGAGATGATAGCTCAGTCAACGCCCAATAAAATGCGTTTTAAGCTGTCATGTGATATTTTACCACTGTTGTCCAAAATTCTTGATGGTAAAATAATTGAACTTTGGTTGGACTTTCCATATTAAATAAATAATATAATAATTTCCCCGATCAGTTCTCTAATCAAATTTGAAAGACGTCCTGCTTTTGTTTTGACTGGACCTAACTATTAACCCATGTTGAATGACAGTAGGAAGAGCTGGCAATCATGTGATAAGTTACATGACCTGTTCAGTGAGCCTAAGTGACAGAATTCCTCTATAATCCGATAAATGTAGTATGCAGAGTACAAATAACTTTTTTTTTGCATACCAGTTTTTTGCTTTAAGTGCTGAAATTGCATAGTTTTGGATTTTGGGAAGTAATTTCTTCTGTGATAGTTGAAGTAGACCTTAAACTCCAAATGTATTTGCACATCCAGTTTGACACACAAGTAAATCCAAAAAATCTGTCAAATAATGTACTCCCCATCTGTACGAAAAAATCAATCAATATTGAACTATTCCCACAAGTGATTCTAGCTCACATAGGCCTACATGCTTACTTTTTATATGGTTTCTTCAATAATAGCTTTTATTACTCCTGATATCTTCCATGTTATTTTCGAAGTGAGGAAATACTTATACTTAATAATTAAGAAAAAGAAGTGTTGTATTTCAATTGTTATATGATGAAGCATGAATTTTTTCCACAACTCTAGTTTGTTTTACTCTATCTCCCCAAAATGTCCTCTGCTATCCACTTTAGTATAATAATCCTTATTCAGCACAATCTATGAGTATGATACTATTTATAGTAACAATCATGCCTCCTTTCTGTGCTGACTTTCAGTCCTCAAGAAATTTAATAAAAGTGCGACAAATTAACAGATCCCAATTGTTGTAGACACCAAATTTTATAATGAGTTAATTTTCATTTATTATTATAAAATATTCTGTATCGCAAAAATACTGCTCTACTGACGAAAATTACATGGCATTTTGACGAAAATTATATTATGATGTGATATCGCTTATTTTGTTCCCTGTTTAAACCAATATGTAATATTTATCTTTATATATTATTTTATACCACTGTGAAATGTATCAACATTGTAAAACCTAAACTGAATTATTCAAGGCTGAAGCGAGGGCTACCTTAAACAGCATAGCATTTTGATGTTAATCATTAAATCACTTTGATGTAGGCCTTAATGTTTTCTGTTCTTAAATTCATTTCTAGAAACTTGATACAATAGGAAAATTAGGCATGACTCATTGATTACACTATACTTTCAATGATTATTACTCAAAACTTCATGTCAGTGGTATTAACTTTTACCTGATTTACCTAAATAATCTTGCATCAGTTAGCCATTTGCTTCTTGAGAATAGTGTTGTATGGACTGTTAATTTCTTAAACTCATGATAAATTTTTGGAATATATTCAGTAACTTTTAAAACCTTTTTTTCAGGTGTAAAGGTTTCTTTAAAAGAACAGTACAGAATAAAAGAATCTATTCATGTGTTGCAAGTGGAGATTGTGAAATAAATAGAGCCCAGAGAAATAGATGTCAATTCTGTCGGTTTAAGAAATGTTTAGAAAAGGGAATGGTTTTAGCAGGTATGTAATATATAAGTTATTCTAGATTCCAAATGTTCAGACGAATGTCGACCATACGGTTGTCAAGCTTTCTATCAGTCTGTCTGTTGCCTCCAGAATCTTCTGAAAGGTTTGTTACTTTGGTGTTTAGGTTATAGCAAGATAAGGGGGATCAGCATTTACATGCCTGACCAAGTTACTAGATTTAGATCAATAACTTAGTTGATCGTCTTGTAAAACGTCTTTTATGAAATGGGAACATTCAGATGTAAAGAATGGTTTAAACGAAAATAAATTCTGTTTGCATTGATAGAATGGTTTCAATGCCTAACAAAAATACAATGTTGTTAATGTAAATCAGTCTACGCTCAAAAGTTGAAAATCAATTTCTCTTTCTCCATAGGTGCTACGGTTATAAAGAAATCAGGACTATTTTGTGATTTGTCTGATTCTGTCTGTCACCATATTTTTTTATAATCAATCTACTGATAAAAAAACATATTTCAAGTCTTGTATGCAGTCCAACAATGTAAATTGGATGCAAACTTATCTTTTCATCACACAAAGAAATAGGTATCATCCTTACAGTTTCAGGAATAGGTTATAACAAGATAAGTGGTATGTGCAGTTACCTATTTACCAGACACAGATCAAAAACTTAGTTGATTGTCTTAGTTAAAAGGCAGGACTTAAACACTTGGCATGGGAGGGGAGGGATACAATTCTCTACAGAATATTTCAAATTTTTTACAGTATGTTTGCATCAAAGTAATACAAATAACTAGTTATGTACTTGAATTAAAACACTACAGGGACAAAAAAGGACATTTAATTCTGGTTTAGGCATTGTGCTAGGGTTCAGCAGGGTTTGAATTATATTGATTGTCACTGTCTGCAAATCCCTGACCTCTTTTGACTGTGGACTTGCTGTTTATACCTTGGAAAACAAATAAACTGAAGTACAAACCAACAAATTATAACATTCTGTTGGTTTAAACTGAACTCTTTCTTTTTTGGCCCAAAGTCTGTAACCACCTTGTATATTTATTCGTTCTAAGGGTCATTTGATATGTCATCAACTACGTCAGACTTCTTTGTTTATAGAAACCCAATGTTTGAAGGTAGCTTAACTTTATCACTTTTCATTGGAAGAGAGATACAATGTATTGATTTTGGCGCAAAGTACAAAGGTGACAGACATTTTAAACTTGGGTCACTAAGTAAGATAAAATTGTTGTCTCTTTACAGCTGTGAGAGAAGATAGAATGCCTGGTGGAAGAAATTCTGGAGCTGTTTATAATCTCTATAAGGTATTATTATTTATTCCTTATATATTGTATAATATATAGATTATATTAAAACAACATCTGATTTTTCTGATTCAATTTATTGACTATAGGTGCAGAGATACAGTATGGTCAATTAATAACATAACCATTTGGGAGCTGGATAACAATAAAAAATTTATTAAACACAGGACTGATTATAAAAATATTTCAAAAAACCTTCTTTTTCATTCAAAATATGATATTTTTGTGTTTGTTTTAACAGTTACTAAAAAAAGATTTCACGTCTAAAGATATATAATACAGTTTAATATAGTTTATCAATAAATTTCCATTCCTTATAAAATCTTTCACTTAAATTTTCAGATAGTTAAAACATGCTATATCACTTAGTAAAAACATTAAAATTGGACTGGTAGGCACGAGATGGACTACAGTCTATATATGATTTTGATGAAACTTGGTATGCATATATATATTAATGAGATCTCTTTCAAGTTTGAATTTGGTAATAATTTGATGAATGGTTATTGCCCTTGACTTTTTACAATGGGTCAAATTTGGCATGTAGGTACGATAGAGACTACAGTTCTTCGTGAAACTGAGTATGCTTGTAGATATTGTTGACATCTCAGTAAAGCTTGAAATTAGTAACAACTGGATGAACGGTTTCACAATTATTGCCCTTGACTTTGTAAGGAACACGTCAAATTTGGCTTGTAGGAACAATATAGACTACAGTTTTTATCTGATCTTAGGTAATAAGCGCAGTTTAATTTCATTCTGATTTAATGAACTGTTTTTGAGGTCTTGCCTTAACATCTGAATATTTTTACGATTATTTGAAAATTCATTATTTAGCTACTTTATAAAGACATAGTCATAATTTCCGACAGCTGGTAGTGGGCGTATTTTACCTGAGTATGGTACCATGCCTGGCAAGCTTTCTTCTTCGAAATTTGGCAATGGGTTCAAAGGTAATGTTTTGGAAAATATTTTGCTGCCTGAAGCTTGTGATTCAGTGGTGGTGTGAGTATTTCTGCAAAGAACTGTGTTTTATATCATTTATCATTGACATGTCACTAGGTTTCTACTTTTTAATATTCATAAACATTCTGAATATTCATAAAGATATTAACACTTGGTGTGGTGTTATTTAGTTTTGACTATTTTTATATGCCTCCGTCTGTCCGTCCACAATTGCTCGTAAACAATCTAGAAAACACAATTCTTGATTGATTTTGACAAAACTTGGTATAATTGTGTGTAATCACCCACGGATGAACCCTATTGAAAATCAGAAAGATCGGGAGTAACTGCCTTTGTTCTTGAAAACGTGTTCAATTTGAACTTGTTAACACTTTTAAAGGTTCAAATTTTTAAGAAATTTGATTTGAGTGTTTGTCTCACAACCCTATTGAAAATCAGAAAAATCAAATAAATAGTATGAGTTTTTGCCCTTGTTCTTGAAAACGTGTCCAATTTGAGCATGTTAACTCTCTAGATGGTTCAATTATTTACAGATTTTGACGAAACTTGGTTGAATGTTTGTTATCACCCAAGGATGAACCCTATCGAAATACAGAAAAATAACACAAATATTTAGCATGAGTTCTTTTTGAGCTCCTCAACATTCTAAATGGCATAATTCTTGACAGATTTTGACAAAACTTGGTGATCATTTATATTAATGAGATTTTGACGACCTTTCGTTAAACGCTCTTTGAGTTATTACCTTTGACTTTGTAAAAAAACATCAAAATTTGTTTGCTTTTGAATGTGACAGTTTATGTCAGAATTTTATTAAATTTTGTGTGTTTGTATAAATGAACAAATTAGATTTTTGGTATGATTTGACACACATTGGTGACTGCCTTTGATATACTGAAAATTTATCAGGGAAGTCGGTGTATCTTGCTAAGTAACTACTTGTTATGATAATGTAAGACATGATATAGGCTGTTATAAAATATTACGGCTTCTGTAATTATTAAAAAATGAGTTATTGACATGGTGTATTCTTGACACACGGAGTAAACATGTCCAAGGTGATAAACAAACTCATTACTTAATCACAGGTAAAACATTTCTTTTTATGTACTTTGGAAATAAAGTAAATTTTGTTAAAAATGAAAGGTATGCGAAGTGGATTAACATTTAAACTTTTATATTTTTAGCTGCAAGAAAATCATCAGCGTTTTAATATTTAGCTTTCATTGGACACTTTATATTGGGTTTTCTTGGAAGTTCACTGCTTTTTAGTTAAATTGAATTTAAAAAAAAATTAAAACTCATTATTTTGTCATGTAAACAACAAAGATATTTGCTCTGAAATAATTAAACCACTATATTATACTCTTTTTTTTATGTAATGGCAGAATCTATCTTTAGATTAATAAATTAAATTAATATGATTAAAATGACAGGAATATCTTTTTGTTTCATTGGTGTTTAGTGTACATTCTTATCTATGCAAAGTAATATTCATTGCTCAATTATGTCAAATATAGAATATCTCTAACCCTTCCAAACCTTAATTAGATTCACAACTTTAATTGGATGAAAAATTTAACTTCAACCAATCCAATCTAGTTTTGCTAACGCTCTTTAGTATTTTGCTGTCAAAAGTAGTAAGTGAACACAATAAAGGATAATATTGATCTCATTTGGAAAAAAACTTGGTGAACTTATAAATATTACTGAGACCTCAATCAGAACATAAGATATTGATAAAAATGTAAAAATTGTCTTGTGAACACACTTCAGATTTAATCTAATTTTTACAAAACTAGGCAAAGCATATGTATAATGTTTTGCATAATACAAACTTATCCAATTTGTAATATCTCTTACATGGTTAAGATAATATGAATATGCATTATTCTCATTGTTAAAATAATGCTCAATACATCAATTGTAGAGCGATATAGAAATATTAGAAAACACAAATTTCTAATATGAATATGCTATGAATTTGTACATTACATACATCAACAATATGTGAGATGACTACTATAAGCTATTTTACATTAATAAGTAGATGTACATGGTGAGGTTTACATTTTGCACTGTTTTCTAGCCATCATCAGGTTAAATTGATTTAATTAATAATTATCATTTGATGTTTTCCAGGTGAAATATAAGAAACATAAGAAAAAAGATTTAGGAATAAAGAAGATTTGTTATCAAAGTGCTATGAGTTCAGACACCATGTTAACTACATCTCCAATGTCATCATTAAGAAATGTGGATAGCTTTGAACAAGATTATTGGATGTCTAGTATGTGTGAAGATCAAAAGAAGCTGAATAGTTCACCATCCTTACAGTTACCACGATTACCAGACATAGCAGAGAATGTCACAAATAGTTCAGATAGCAGATCAACATCTACTAATAGTCAATGTTTTGGTCAAGATATGTGGATTTCCAGTGTATCCGAGAATTTAGATGGTAATATTGGCTGCTTTGGAAGATCAAGATCTCCCTTGACATCAGATACCAAAATGGAAGAATGTAAAAGGCTGATTTTGGAATTGGTTGAGAAGGACACTTTGTTAGGAATTGCAAAATCTTATGGTTTTGAACAGTTAATTGCTAATCAAGATTCTGTAGGACATGCTTTGTGTAGAATTGGAGATGATATTGTTGTTAAATTGGTTCATTGGATCCGGAATCTTCCCTTTTACTCCGAAATTCCTCTAAAACTTCAATCACAGATGTTAACAAAGAAATGGCATGAACTCCTGTTATTGATTATGACGGCTTTCGGTGCCTTGGACAGTAAGAAAAGTACCTCAGCTTGCCCACTGTTTACAGATCTCTTTCGTCAAAACATATCTAAGATTCAGTGTTACTTAAATAAGACATTTGGTAATTCTTTGTCAACTAATCAGTTAAATAAAGAAATTGGTCCAGTAATTGAGAAAGTTACTCATATTATGTTAAAGTTTTTATCACTACAACTATCCCGTCAAGAATTTGTCTGTCTACAAGTTATTCTACTCATGAGTCAGAGTAAGTCAATTTTATTATTTATTGTTTAAAAATATCATCATTTATTTGTTCAATCTAATCAGTAACTCTTAATATAGATTCTTATCATAAAGTCTACATAGGTTAGTTAACTTAGTTAGTTAAATGGCATATTAGTCTGTAACTGTGGTTTGAAACCATCCTTCAAATGAGATAAAAAGAAAATATCTGCTCAAAAATTTTCTTGTGATTTTAGAAAGTTTAAACTATTTGTTTGAAAACCTGACATTTTATTTTCCTCTTAAATTATAGATTACAATTACCCTGTAGAAATTCAGATTCGCTCTGTCTCAGACTCAATATTTTAATAATTTCTTATTTCATTAACAGTTTACAAAATTCATCATCATTTCTATGTTTAATGTATAGAATGGGGCTGAGGGTTTTTGCATGAGAAATGCTACATTTTCTCTCATTGTAGTTGGGTGATTTTCCATCCAGTGGAATCATACATCCAGGAAACTGATGTGATGCCAAGACTTTAATGTTTTTGGTTTTAAAAAATGGTGACATTGAAGAAAATTGTAATCTTCTTTTTCTACATTTGTGTGAAATGAAAAAAAAGTAGCAATATTTTTTAAATGCTGTTTCAATCTTGAATTTCTCGCTTTAATTAAAGTTCCCTTTATCATCTCTAGAGTCTTATCATGTTCTCAGCTATGAAATCAATCAACTATGCTAAGTTCTCTTCAAAAATTGAATGATAAGCATTTTTTCTAATAGATCAAAAGCCAAAATCCTTTGATGATGAAATATAAGTATAATTAAGAACCATGCAGTTTAAATTTTCTAGAATATTCTTACTTTAACTTTTAATCCAAACTGATAGTTACAACTTGGCACACAGAGTGTCTTTTTCTCTTTTAGGCCATGGAGTGTAATTGGTTTCCATAATGTGGTTTTCTAAATGTTTATTTTTTCTTTTACAGATGATAACATCAATGAAATGTCTGGTCAATCTATCATAAATATACAAGAGAGGTATATGAAAGTATTACAGCTATACACAAAGACACAGTTTTCCAGTCAACCATATAGATTTGGTGAATTACTACTACTCTTACCACAGATCAAAGATGCATCAGCTATGTTATTAGAGAGCAAAATGATCTACATACCATTCTTACTGAATACATGAAACTCTTACACAAAATCCTTAACCCACTCTTATGACATTTCTTTCATGTTGTCTTGTTCTGTTCATAGCATTAAGATAATTAAAATGTCTTAAGGATAAGTTATTAGGTATATTCCTGACTACTGAGGCTTTACATTTTTTTACTGAGACCCTTTCAAATATAACTGAGGTTTGATTTGGCATTGAATTGAAGTTTTTAAGTCTGAATTTATAACTAAGATAAACGTATGCCAGAGCTTTTTGCCAGAAATGTTCATAAAAGGTAATAATGAATGTTTCTGATATAGAACCCAAGTCAGTTAATCAAGAGGTATTAAAAGCTTTAAACATTCTTCAAATAATTGCCACAGAGATGAATTCAAGCTTTCAAACAACCTTAAAAACAACTTAAAACACCTTTGTTGTAGAAGAAAATTAGGTTTAATTATTTGTTATAGAATGAACATTCAATTTATAGTGGCCTACAGATGGAGAGTATCTCAAGAATAAGACTGCTGTCAGTTTGTAATATTTTACAAATATTAATGTTTCTCTATTACTTGAATTTGAAGGATGTATATTTTTCGGTTTTCTCAGAACTTGTGTTTGTCTGAAAAGACATTGTGCCTATTTTTTTTATTATCAATCTCCATTTGTTTTTACTTCTGTGCAATTTAAGATGCCTTATGGCAAAGATCCTAAATGCTATTTGAAATAAGATTTTCTAAGATTTTTTTCTTAGAAATTTCAGTCAAAAATCTAAATTGCATATGATTTGGTAATAATGCTCTTATCATTATTTTGACCCACCTACTTGTTCTGATGATATAAGAATTAAACAGAAGATTTGTAAAAAAAAAAATGATCACTAAGACATTGAAATTTTTGAAAAATGACCAAATTTTATAATTAGAATAATTTATATATGTGTAAGATCTATAGTACTTACAAGTGATAATAAGTATTGTTATATTAATATATATGGATATATCTATTGTGTCTTAACATCATTATAGCTTGTAGATTGTTATAATAAACATAACCATTGCTGTACGTACACATTCTTTCAATTTCAAGCAGAAAATGATTTTAGATGCATTTTTTTTTTCAAAACTAGGAAAATAAATTCTGAACGATACTAAGTTTTTGTTGGATATGCTCTATGCTTTTAAAAAAGAAAACAATTGAATGAAAAAAATCAAAGAGATCCTAAGCTTAAACATGACAGTTTTGAGAATGAGATTAAAGTTCATTAAAGTATATACAAAAATTTATAAAAATGTCTATACTGTCTGTGTAGATACATATACATTTGGAAGCAATTGGTACTTAAAAGTTAATCTTGATTTTGTTAAAGGATATTAAATAATCTACAAGCTATCAAAATGAACAGTATATCTGTTATTTAATTGTGATATTATTGTGTTCATATTGTGAATATTTTGTTGTATGAATAATGATATTTATTTATTTGTTAATATGTGATACTAATATGAATTGTTTATGAAATAACAAAGTAATTGATCCAGTGAATTTCTTAATACTTATTCAATAAGGAAGATTTTGAGATAGATAATTATTATATTAACCATTGAATGGTTGCAAAATGATGAAAAAAAAAAGAGATTAAAACTATGAACTTTCTGTTTTAAAAGTGCATTTGAATATCCAAGATGTATCAAGTGAGATGGATTTTTCATTAATTTAAAAAATGTGTTCATTTATGAAATAAGAGATAAAAAATGTTATTTTTTCTGTTAAAGTTTATGTAAAAAGTTAAATACCAGATACAAGTTTCATCATTGTTTTGTATATAATATAATCATTGTAAATGGATTGTAAATCATTCTTCTCATCTTTTTCTTTCATTCATACAATAATAGCAAGGACTAACTTTCAGCATTAATTTCTATTGAAATAATCTTCTGTTAGATATTTGCTTACCCGGTTTATAGCGCTCAATTTCAGTTTCAGTTATCCAAAGTACATTTTAGAATGAAAATCTAGAAGGAAGTGATGATTGTCTATTGATATTCCAGCCAACATAAACACTGGTAAGATGCAGTCATTACTGAGTACTTACAGTGGGTTGTTTATCAAAATATCTTCTGGAAAATGTATGAGATTAATATGTAGACTTGTGTTGCTTCCTGTCTTATATTTTTATGAAAATGAACTTGATGCCTTTGTGTCATTCTGAAAGTGAACTCGGCAGAATAAATTGAGCGCCATTAGCTGGGAAAGCAATTATAAAAAAACAATTGCCAATGAAATAGTATTAAATATCATCTTTCAATTATCATTATCAGTGAAATCTTCAAATTATATTTCAGTGTAATTATATTTCTAATTATATTTTATTAATGATGGTTATGTACATTCAGGGACTCTTCAAAACATAAGAACAGTCTACAAAAAATGAATGTGCCCATTATTTTAATGTTGAAATAGTTTGAGAATTACCCAGATGTGCAAAAAGATTTTGGTACCAATTTTACAATTTTTGAACGTTCATGATCAACTTATTTAAAAGTGATAAGAACCTTTCTATATTACATTATGATCTTTTCATCATTAGGTTGGTGTCATGAACATTTCATTTCATAAATTACATTTGTCAAAAGAAAATGAAGCATTACATTGAAAATTATTTTCTAAATTGTTGATAAACTGTTGTGAAATTATCATGATCATTAAAAGGTCAACAGTGAAGGGTGTTGCTTCAAAATTAGTTTTATGCTTTTTAGCATGATCTTTACAACATCATTTTAAACACAGCGCTTTAAAGGGACTTGTAGGTTGATAATTTTTTTGCTATAAACCAAATTTCAACTAAAAAAAGATAGTGGACCACATCCATATACGCCCACCGTGGCATGCAGATGGTAAATATTAAAGATTTTGGGGCAAGGGCAATAAGTCTGCTTCTTACAGTCCATGTATATATGTATGTATACACATACCAAATTTTTATTTGATTCCATCAAAAACTCTAGCCGTTAGAGTGTTTACAAACAAATGTTGACGGACGGACGGACAGGGTGTCTGTCCACATAGAGAGATGTGGGCGTATAAAAAGCAGTCATTAAAAAATTAACGCCAAAACTTTACGTAAATGGTTACTTAACTTTTTAATTTCGTTATGGATTTTGCAAGCTGTGAGAAAACTGCTGTACGGTTTTGAGTAAAATAAAGCCTAATTGTATCTATTATATCTTTTCTAAAGATTTCAGCCAAATATAAAGAACCATTATAAAGCCATTCACCGAAACTAGGTCAAACTGCTTAATTAACAATTAGTACTCTCAGTTTTAAAATTAACCCTTTTAAAACAAATTCAGTTTGATCAAGTTGATATAAATAACATACTTTAGAAATATTTTCAGGTATAATTTGCGACGTTTTTGATGATGAAAAGCGGAAAAAGGGAGTCTAAAATATCTGGTTAAAAATATCACTATACAGGATATGGGACTTAAATAGCGAAGTGTTTTGTTCACTTGAAAACAAAATTTTTAGACTTATTTAGAATATTAATAAGAAGTAGATATGACTTCAGACATCTTGAGTTACACTGTAATAAATATATATTACAAATTAGGATATTTTAGAAGATATAAGAAGAAATCTTATTAAGTAATTAGTCCTCTTATTTTTTAAATAGTCTGGAGTTTGTGTCATTAATCATACAATTCAATGATAATTATTAAAATATTCCACAGCCCAGTTTATCGATCCTTCATATTATAGTAGTAATTGGTGACAGCCAACCAGACTTGCTAAGTTGATTTCAGTATGATAATAATAGTCTAGCAAGGGTATTTGTGTACATTTGGCTCTGATTTGAAAAAAAAAGCAAGCAGTTTACTTTATTTTGAGGAAGTACAATATAAGATTAACTTGTATAATGTCAATCACTATTTATTCTATCCTATTATATAATGAACTGCTTGTATTGACGTTTTGAATGGACACTGATGTGAATAAATATCTTTGCTCAATTATACCTAGAATTATGTTACAAACATGTTACAAATTATGTTTCCTCCCTGTTTCTCAATAAATACCACACTTGAAATAATTTTACAATACAATTTTTATTGAGAATATGGGTTTTGTATTATATTTGTAAAAATAAGTACACTGTTAACAATAGCAACACCCTTCATTGCTACATTGGTGTAGTATAGTCATTTTTGTTATGTTCAGTGTTGTAATTTGAAAAGATAAAGAAGATCTGAAAGTTGATTTCAGTCAACAATTTATAATTTGATTGTCTCAAAATCACTGGGTATACATAGTCAAAGTATATGAGACTTTCAGAAAATAAATTTTTTTGACTGTGTACTGTTGAGTTCTATTGACAGAAGCTTGATTGCACCAAAATACAAAATGTACAAGGTTAATGTACACAGATTAAAACAACAATCTTGATTTTGTGAAGTTTTGATTAAGTAATTTATGTTCAAGTGGACTAAAATGTAAGAATGAAGGAGTTGGGCTCAAGAAATTTTAGTAGAAATGGCAAACTCATAACAGTCAGTCTGAACTAATTGTAAAATTTTAACAGTCAGTCTGAACTAATTGTAAAATTTTAACAGTCAGTCTGAAAATTTTAGAAAATCCAAGAAGACTAGTTTGTAGCAAACTGACTCCAAAGCTAAAGTAAGTATTAAAGAAATTCCTCTACCTTTTTAAAACTAATGTATCTTTATCTAATAAAACTTCTTTGGTGCCTTGAAATAATACATAATGAAATTTTACTGAAATTGCTGGTTCTCTTTTTTCAATCAAATTTATTTAGCAAGTGGGTTATGTTCAGTTATATTGACAAGCATGTATAGTATTGAATACAATTGAAGGTTGTCCATTGTACATGATCAGAAAGAGTGGTATATATATTTTTAGAACTCACATTGTAAGAGAAAGTATTTGCCTTGTTGTTTTATTGAAAATGTTAAAGATTGAGTTTGAATATTCATGAAATAAAAGTAAGAAAAAAGCACTGATATTCTTAATCA